ATACATCCAAAGTTAGGTGGCACAGTGGATAGAGTGCTGGGCCTGAAATCAGAAAGACCTGAGTTCAACTCCAGTCTCAAACACTTACTAGCTGTGTGACCCTGGGATAGTCACTTAACCCTGTTTGCCTCAGTTTCCTCATCTGTAAAATGAGTTGGAGAAGGAAATGGCAAACCACTCCAGTATCTTTGCCAAGAAAACCCCAAATGGGATCACAATCGAACAACGACAGGAAGAAGCATCTTCTACCTTCACCCACGATGCAGTACCTCACACATGCTGTAGAAGGCAATGACTTGTATTTGTAGAGGCAGCTTGGTGGTGAAGATGGAGTGTCAGACTTAGAGTGAGGAAGACCTCAGTTCAAATCTAGCCTCAGACACTTACTAGCTGTATGGTTCTGCGCAGTTTACTTAAACCCTGCCTCAGTTTCTTTGTAAAATCGGGATAATAATAACAAATGAGATAATGCTTGTAGAACATTTGGCTAAACCTTAAAGTGCTATGTAAATGTTAGCTATTGTTATTGTTGAACTGGAGTGTTCATTTCTTCCCATAGTGCCTGACCCAGTGCCATCTACATAGCATGCATGAATAAATGTTTAATTGGAATGTCACCTCTTGTTTTACCCACAGCACCTAACGTGACTATCCACAATGGAGGCAGTAACAAGTGTTTGGTGAGTTGTGCAGGGTCTTCTATTTCTATCCACAGTACCTAGCACAAGGCTATGCACAAAGTGGGCACCAATAAATATATGTTGGATAAATGAACAAGTGGGGTGAGTTCATATGGTTAGTCCATGAGCATTCCTGTCATTAGGTAGACTAGAGTCTGAAGGAAGGGGATATGGGACAGGCCAAGTGTGATGAGAAGGGAGGGAGGGGGAGGGGAGGGAATAAGTATGTATATATTGCCATTATGTGTCAGGCACTGAGCTAAGCACTTTTACAAATATTATTTCATTTGATCCTCACCACAACCCTGGGAGGCAGGTTTTAAAGTTGGGGAAACTGAGGCAGGTAGCAATTAAATGACTCCCATGGTCACAGAGCTAGGAAGTATATGAGGTCATATTTGAACTCAGGTCTTCCTGACTCCAGGAGATCATGAGCTGATCTATGACCAAATGGGCTTCCCAGTGAAAAAGGGACTGGAGGAGCCCCAAAGAGGCCTTCTTCCATAGTAATGAACCTGGAGCTCACCAAAGAGCCATCAGTGCCTGTGAGGATATCCAGTTACAGGGTTCCTGCCCTGGAAGAGACAGATATAAGCCAAGTATCGCTCCAGGGTGCCAGAGCAGAAGAAGTAGAGACTAACTTCAAACTTGTTTCTGCTGATAGGACCTGTGGGGAGGTCTGATAGACTCTCTTACCTCTACAGCTAGGGTCCTTTTTAGTCTCTTGTGGAAATCCTACCTGTCCTTCAAGACTCAGGCCATAACGCCCTTTGTCTGGGAAGCTTCCCTGATTCCCTTAGCTAAAAGTTGTTTCTCCATCCTCATGCTCCCATAGCACTTCTCCCAGAACACCACCTCTCCATCAACCTCCCCATCATAGTTCAAATTGTATGTGCCTTTTCTTTCTCAACAGGAGATGTTGCTGAATCTTTATAATCACCTTTTACAGTACCTAGCACGGGACCCTGTGTTAGAGGTAGCACCAATGAGCAGGTTGAACACTGGATTTTTAGTCAGGAGATCTGGACTCTAGCAGTGGCTTTCCACACTTACTACCTCTTTGACCTTGGACAAATCACTTCCCCACCCTGAGACTCAGTTTTCTCATCTATAAACTGGGGATAGTAATATGAAATACTAGACCTATCATTCAAATCCCACCTCAGATACTTCCTAGCTGTGTGAACCTGGACAAAGCCAGTTTCCTTATCTATAAAATGGGCATGCCAGTAGTACCTACCCCACAGGGCCATAGTAAGGTTTAAATGAGCTAACACATGTAAAACACTACAAACTTATAAATGTCATATAAATGTCAGAGAAATTATTATCACTACCTACTTCATAGAGTTGTGAGGACAATGCTGTAGAGATGAGAGTTATTATTGCAACAGGTACTTAACAAATGTAGTGGAGATTGATTTGGAACCCAAATCTTCCTTGAATTGAATAGGAGCTGATGTCAATTAGGCATGGCAAAGTACTTGTCAAAATTGGGGGGAGGAAATGGCCTTCCGAGGAACAATGAACTTACAGGCTAACCCAGCTTTTCTCAGTTGGGGCTAAGTGTTTAATTAGAGAGATAAAGGTAAGGAGTTTGGGGGAATGCACCCACTATAAGAGCAGAGATACTGAAGGGAAGGGGTGAAGGTCAGTTCTAGGGTGGGTCTCTGAAAGTATTGGAGTGTTGTTGAAGAGATAGGTTTGGGGGAGGCACCTCTGGAGCTGGGGATATTAAAGGTAGGTGAAGGGTGGTTGGGGGCCAGAAAGGACACTATAGAAGAGCTGTTTGGGAGCCTGGCAAAGAAAAGAGAGGAAATATCATTGGACTTCAAGTATCTGAAGCCTTATTATGGGGGACAAGAGGTTCATGGTGTAGTAGGAGGGGGAAGGGAACGAATATTTTGTTAAGCAACTACTATAGACCAGGTACTGTGCTTAGCACTTTACAGATATTATCTAATTTGATCCTTACCACAATCCTAGGAGGTAGGTACTATTATCCCCATTTTACAATCCAGGAAACTGAAGCAGACAGTGACTTGTCCGGAATCAGACAACTAATAAGTGTCCTGACTCCAGGCTCCATATTCTATTCACTGAGCCACTTAGCTGCCTAGTGGATAAAGAACTGGACAGGAAGTCAGGAAGACCTGGGTTTAAATCCTGCCTTAGATGTATGACCCTGGGCAAATCACTTAACTTCTAAGAGCCTCACTTTTCTCATCTGTAAAATGGTAATAATAAGAATAACTACCTCATAGGATTCTCATGAGGATTAAATGAGGTACCAAAATACATAAATCATTGTGCAAACATTAAAGCATATATATAGATAGATAGATATAGATATAGATATAGATATAGATATATATAGATATAGATATAGATATGTATATATACATGTGAGATGTTATTAATCTCTTTGGCCCTAGAGAGCAGAATGATGAGCCATGGTGGTTCTGAGGAAGAGAGAGAAAGAGAGATAGAGACAGACACCGAGGTGTGGAAAGGAAAGAAGTTTCTAACAATTAGAACAGTCTAGAAATGGAATGTGTATGTCATATGCTAGTGAGCTCCCCATTACAGAGAGGCCTTACAGCAGAGTCCTGTCTACTTGTTACCATTGATACAAAATGGATTTCTGCTCAAGGACTGGTGAACTAAAGATCTTCCAAGAATCTTCCATCTGAGATTGTATAACTTCAGAGGTTCCTGCAGTGGGAAATCTACAGGCTGGAGTAAATGGTTTTTTTTATAGCCAAATTCCAGTTGTGGAAGAATCATAGGGTAATGGCAAATTTCCTTGGCCTGGGAGTCAGAAGAAATAGGCTCAAAACCTGACTCTATCTTGAACTCTCTATGTGACCTCCAGAAAAGCAGTTTTCTCCTATGGGCTTCAGTTTCTTCCTCTGCAAGATGAACTAAATGGTTCCTAGATATCCTCCCATTGTATTCTGTGTTTGGAGTCAGGTTCTTAACCTGGGACCCGTGACCTTTTTATATAATTTTTTTTTTTGTTTAACTGTATTTCAGTATTTGATTCCCTTGAAGGTAATCTTCTCGCCCTAGCTTTCTAATTTTGTCAGCTCTGATATTCTGTGACTTGATCTGTGAATTTCTTCCCAGATTGTCTACACAGCACTGGGCCAAATTTACAGCTAATTATTCCCTCTGGCCCAGGACAGGGCCTTGACATTCATGGTGGTGTCAGTCCTCATATCTCTTCTCTCCGAAGGCAAGGGCACCGCATCTTTCTTTGGTTTCTCTCCCTCTCTCAGCAGTCAAGGGGTGAGTGGAGGAGGTGCTGAGATCTTTGAGGGAGGGGGCAGCCAGGGCCCAGGGCATTGAGGTTAGATTCCCACTTCCCCTTGTTGGAACCTCCCCTGCGGCCACCAGTCCTCCCTCCAACGTTCCTTTGCAATCGATCACATCTAGGAAAGAAGGATCAATCCCCAGGGGCGGATAGATTAAAGATCTCCACCCTTCTTTCCTAGGCCCCGGCCAACCAGCCTGGCGGCTCCATCCATCTCTCGCGAATCACACCCCAGAGGCACTAACCACACCTGGCATTCTGGATCCTGGCCTCTCCCTGCGCCTGCGCAACCCCAGAGGTAACTAACTACCTTGGAGAGACCAGGAGGGGAGAGGTAAGGAAAGGAAGGAAAGCCCAGTCCCCACCCCTAGCCTTGCCGGTTACCACTCCAGGTCAGGTCTTCCCCGCTTCTTTCTGGGGCTCAGGAACTTGCTTAGTATCCAGAGACCCAGGCATAGAGGGACTCCGAGGGCTCAAGTGATGGCTCAGATGCCCCCATGCCTAAGACCCAGGATCTCTTATTCTGCCCCCCCCAACTTCCCCTCCCTCAGCCCAGATGGTTGTGGTTGGTTACAATTGACACAGAACGTGTCATTACCTAGCTCAAGGAGCTTTTGTGGCTCCCTATTGTTTCTAGGGTTAAAAAAAAAATCTGGTGTTTTAAGCCCATCACAATCGGGCTCCAACCTCTCTTTCCAGGCTTGTTGGATATTGCCCATTTTCACCGACTCTTGCAGCCTAACTTGGTGTTCCCCCTACATCTCCAGTCTCCGTGCAGTCGCTGCTCACTTCTGCCTCCTGGAATCCCTGGTGCCTTTCAGTGCTCAGCTCAAGTACCGCCTCCCACTAGAGGCCTTTATGACCCCCCCCAGTTGTTAGTGTCCCCCTCTGTATTTATTTTGTGTTTACTTGTACACGCTATTTTCCTTCCAGTAGTATATAATTTCTTTGAGGTCAGAGGATTTCATTTTTGCTTTGGTATCCCCCAGTGTCTGGCACATAGGTTAACAAACGCTTGTTTATTGAATTGAATATGGGACACTGCATCTCAGTGGGTCGTTCGCTTTGAGCCGGGGGCCTCAGGTTGGGAGAAGGCGGAGAAAGGCGTTTCTCCCCTATGCAGAGTAGTGATAATCGCAGCTAGGAAGAGAACTCAGAGGTCTCTCGGCCCAGCCTGTCGGAATAGGAATTCTCTTTACACTATTCCTCACAAGAAGTCCTCCAGCCCTCTGCCTCTTGGACTCCAGCCCTGTATCCCCACCCCCACCCCCTACATATACCTTCAGACACCATGCTGAAACCTAATACCTTTTCCATTTAATGGTCCTTCAAATAAGAAAGGCTCCCCATTTCCTCTTCGCTGCATCCTGCTCCTGGAGCTGGAGAGATGCCAGAGACAAGGCCAACTACCTCTTCCCTTATGTCTGGCCCAGGTCCCATTTCCTGACGGTTCATCCCCCAATTCCCCAAGCCTCTGAAGGTTAAAGTGTACCCCATATTCAAAATTCACTGACACTCTGAGTGCCACCGTCTCGAAGCTCCAGGATCTCCCCTCCCCCTAGCCACTCGGTACTCTCAGTGCGGGACTTTTAATACGGATCGGATTGAACGAGACCACGGGACACGCGCTCTGAGCTCCCCGCGAACTCTGGGCACGAAGTTGAGGGTGAAGAGGAATAGGACTGGCAAAGGGCCCCAGGTCTGTACCTGTCTCTTTCTGGTCCCCGACCCTCCCCACCCCCCAAACTCAAGGCTCTCCAAGTGAAGTTTGGCCAGACGATTGAAACTGAGGTGAGCGGGTGGGGTTGTGGGGGATGCTTTGGTCTTTCGGGGCTGCCTCAATGCCATAGTCACGCAGCCCCGGGGGAAGGGCGGGCTAGGATGCGTCAGCCTCCTCGTCTGCCCTGTGCCCAGCATAGAGCGCGGCCAGCGGGCGGAAACGTGGCCCCCAGCTGCTGAGATAGGAGAAGTCCTGCTCCGAGCTCGAGCGAGTGTGCACGGAGCTGAGCGAGGCTGCCGGCGAGTCCGCACCCTCGAATGCGTACGTCTGGAAAGCATCGTAAGGCGGAACAGACAAGTCCGCGTCCGCCAGCGCCACTTTCCTGCTGATGAAGTCCCTGAAGAGGGAGAAGTCCAGCTCGGGGCTCGGGGCCCCTTGTGGCAGCGGGAGGGAGGGGCGCTCCGATGGCAGACCGGACTGGAGGCCGCCCCCGCCGCTGCTGCCCCCTCCTCCCCCACTCCCTCCCCCTCCTCCGTCCCCGCCTTTGATCTCGCTAAAGTCGTACAGGCTCCGCAGTGCCGACATGTCGTAGGCCTCCGTGTCCTGCTCTCCACCGCCCTCGTCGTTGTACTTGATGACGTTGTCCCTCATGTCCTCGTCTTCCTCCGAGCTCAGGTGGCTTTTGTGGTGGCGCTTGAGTGAGGATGAGCAGGACCAGCACTGGCCAGGGACAGGGGAGGACACAAGGAGCAGGGACAGGGAGAGTTCAGCCCCAGGGGTGAGAGGAGGTGGAGGGAAGGGTTTGGCCAAGAGGAGGGTAGGGGATTGATTGGCCAAGAGAAAGGAAGAGATACAGAGGTGGGGATGCCCCGCCGGGGCCAAGAGAGGGAAGAGGCACCCAGGTTTCCGGGAGGGAGTCGTTGGAGAGAGAGTAAAGTGGAGAACAAGCTTAAACAAGGGGAGGAGGGCAGGGGGAAAATGGGAAAGGTAGAGACAGGACAGTGGACCAAGGGGAGGCCGTGAGTGTGGGCAGAGCCAGACAACGGAGAAAGGGGAGCGATGAAGATGCAGGAGAAAGATGGAGGAAAGACCCACCGGAAAGAGGGTAACAAGGAGTGTGTTGGAAGGAAGAAGGAAAGAGAGACATCATTGGAAAGATGGCCCTACACATGAACGTCACTACTCCCACTCCCATCCCCTCTGACTGACTTCACTCGGATCCCTCTCCTCAGTTCCCACTTCTGGGCTGATGTGGCAGGGGACTATCGAATACCTCCAAAGGAGGCAGCAGCTGGCTATCCCGCAATAGAACTAAGCCCAAGAAGCACAAGTGAGGTGGATAGATGGATAGATGAGTGGGCTGGAGGCTGGGGGAGCCACCGGAGGGCGAAGCCGTAGCAGATGGCTGCCAGCGCAGGCGGGCGAGGGCTGCAGATGTGACTGCTCCATCAGCTATTCTGCCCGTCACCTTTAGAGCCCTGACGGGCACTTTATTCGTTTGTGGGCAATTAGGCAGTAATTTGTTTGCACTGCGTTGGAAAATGAAACCGATGTAAAGTGCACCCAGTGGGAAAGGGGTTTCTGAGCTGAGGGCGGGGAGAAGGGGAGCCTGGTCTTCCTATTTTGGGGCTCTCTAAATTGTCTCCTTTGCCTCCCAGTGCTGTGGAACGTGAGGCAAGTCATCTTGGCCATAGGCTGGCTCCCCTAAAATAGGAATGAGTGAGACCAGGACCAGCTAAGTGGAAGCACAGAGGGAGGTTTCTTAGGAGCTGACGTCTAGACTAGGACAGGGAATACCCAGATGGAGTACTGTATGAGTTTGAGGAAAGGTGAAATTTTGTGAGTTGAGAAGGGAGGGTACTCCAGGAATCTTCAGTGACCTCATCTCAGAGTTGGGGGGTAAGCAGAGGGTGCCCCCCTAAGGTTTCTTTTAAGCTCCTTTTAAGCTTCAAGAGCTTAAAACTACACTAGGACCTGAGACACCTTGTATATGTTCTAAATTCTAGAGGCCTCCCAACCCCAACATCCCACGTTCTATATTCTAAGGTTCCTTCTACCTTTGACATTCTATGTTCTAATGTTCATTCCCACTCTGGAATTCACAAGGGTCTCCTCCATGATTTGATAGAGGAAGGAGGGGGGCTGGGTCTTGCAGAGGATATGATGAGCATGGACTTGTTTACAGACTGGAGGCTGGGAAATGATGACTTCTGGACTACACATACAAGCCAGGCTAGAGAACACCACAGCAAGGGGGCAACCTGCCAGAGAAGGAAAAGGCTGGGGCCCACAGCAGACTCACCAACCAGGATGAGGATGCAGACCAGCAGAGCAATGAGAGCTCCTGGGCTCAGTGAGGCAGCCATTACATAGGCTGTGGTGTTGCAGGACTGGATGGCACCGGCACTGTCACAGCCACACACACGGATGGTGAGGGTTCCTGTGCTGCTAAGTGTGGGCGGCCCACTGTCCACCACCAATATAGGGAGGAAGAAGACGTCCTGCTCCTGACGGTTGAAACCCACGTGTTGTGTGTGCACGGCTGCTGTGTTATCTAAGTAGAGGTAAGGAGGGAGGTGGGGAGGGCAATGACTTTGGGCCATTATCCTGGCCTAGCTTCTGATTCTACCCACTAGTGTACTCTTAGATTCTCTGCCCCTTCCCACATCCCAGTGATTTACTCCCTTCATCTTCCTTTGTAAGTCAATCCTTCCCCATCCCTCCATCACATTTATTGCTCCTCCCCGGCCTCCTGCCAGCTCCTTGGTGCAGAGGTACTCAGAATGGAAGTGATGGCCCCAGCTTTCTTATAGGGGCAGGATGTGCCCAGGCTCCAAATCCTCCCTCCTTGCCCTTAGGAAAACTTGGTCTCTGCTTCTCAGCCCTGCCTAATTTCTTCTATGTTTTACTCTCCTCCTCCATTCGAGGTGATTTCTCTAAACTGAATCGGTTCAATGTCACAAAGTCCAAGACACAGGGGCTATGAGAAACTTGTCAAAGGGGTGCAGCCAATATTTGATAAATAACTATCTTGTCCTGGAAACACTAAATTGATCTGCAGTCAATGTAGTTACAGAACTTTTTGTGTACCCTTGGAGAAGAAAAAATAATCTATTTCATATGTTCTTATTCATGATAAGCTCTAGAATTTTTCATTTCATATTTAATGGTGGGGGGGACAAGGGAAGATTTAGTGATTTGGAACAGGGACTGAAGGCTGAGAATCCCTAGACAAAGGTTCTTTCTAGCACTCATGTCTTATTTTCACCTTAGCTTTTCAACCTTGTCTCCTGCCCCCCCCCCCATACACCCTAGGAAGCCTTCACTCCAGGCATGCTGGTCTATTTGTGCCTAGGCCATTCCCACCTTTATGCTTTTGTCCATATTGAGAGTACCAGCCCTCTTTTCTTGTGCTGCAATCAAACCAGCCTTCCCTCCCCACTGTCCTCCAATGCACAAGGTTCATTTCTACCCTTGACACATGCCCTCCACATACATTTAAAATAAAAATGGCCTCTCCCACTTCTGCCTAGCTAAAATATCCCATTCAGAACCTTATTTGGCCTTTCCCCATGCCCCAGCCCATAGGCTTTCTCTCTCTGAGCTCCTATATCCCTGGCCATCTGTATTGCTCACAGGGGTTTTGTCACACATGGTTGGGTAATGGGAAGCTTCTCTCTCCAGCTCAATCAAGAGCTCAGAAAGGGCGGAGACTAGGTTTTCTAATGTTTTTCTTTCTTCACATCTCTCACAGAGCCCGGTGCCCACATTCGCATGGGGCAAAGACACACAGTTTCAATCAACACTTGTTGACTGACTAACTAACCTCTGAGAAGGCAGACACAGATGTCGGGTAAGAGTAATGTTTATTGAGTTCAGCCAGTGAGTGGACAGTGAGTGGGCAAGACAGGGGGGATAGCTGGAAGTGGGATCCACATTTGGGTTTAAGCCTCATCTCTTTAAGGATGAGAAAGTAGGAGCTTGTGTAATGGGGAACTCAGGGGTGTGTGTGTGTGTGTGTGTGTGTGTGTAGGGGAAGAAATGATCACTAACTAGTTGCTTTGTACTCACAGTGGTCTCCTGCTTCTCTTGGTATCTTTCGCTTCCTGTTAACCTCCAGTACCCTACCTGTACTGGAAAGCCCTCTCCTAAGGTTGGCCCTTAATAGCCATGATGATAATTCACCCTTTGCATGGCACTTTAAGGTTTACAAAGTCCTTTTTTCATGGTGCCACTGAGATGTAGGGAGTACAGATACTATCACTCTCATTTTACAAAGAAGGAAATGGAGGCTCAGAGAATAAAGTTACTTGGTCAGGGTTACACAGCTAATACAAATGGCAGAGTTGAATTTGGACCCAGTTCTCTTGACTTAAGACCATGGTACTTTATATTTCATCAGGTAAGGAGGCCAGACTGTAGGGAAATAAGTGGCCAGGAGCTCAGGCCCTTGCTACTTCTGTCCCTTTTCCCCCAGGAATGACCTGGTAGTCTGAACCCCTAGAGTTAGTGCACCTGCAGGTGGTCCAGGCTGGGGAAGCCTGGTGAGTGGGGGGGGGTGCCCTTTTCACCACTGCAAAGAAAGGGTGAGGGAGGGGAGCCAGGGAGCCAGGGAGCGGCAGGCATCCATCTGGGCTGACATTCATCAGTGTCAGTCCCTGGCTGCAAAAGCAATATTTATAAATCACGTTTCCAAACTGGCTACAAATTTGTACAAAGAAACAGATGGGCCAGGGGTAGCAGTTTGTCACAGTGGATATTTATAAGAAGAAGGGGAGGGAAGAGGGGTGCTCAGGGACAGGGAGGGAGAAGAGGGCCTCCCACCCACTCCTCTAAACGGATTTTTCCTAGCACAGAGTGACTTGCCACCCACCAGCCCCCAAGCTCCACCAACCCACACAGATAAACAATTACTGACAGGCAACGTCTGTGGAGGGGGAAAAGACACTGGACTTGCAATCAGGACACCCCTGGTTTATATCCTAGCTATGCGACTTATTGCTGTGTGACTTTGGACAAGTCACTTTCTCTCTCTGGACCTCAGTTTACTCAGCTGTAGAAAGTAAAGAAGCTCTATAAAAGCAGTAGAAAGAACATTGAACTGGGAATCAGGAGAGGCTTGCATTGAAATCCTGCTTCAACATTTACTAATTTCATGACCATGAGTAAGTCATTTTATCACTCTAAGCCTTCATTTTTCATCTGTAAAATGGGACTAGAACCTGCAGTACATACCTCAGGGAGCTGTTTTTAAGGATCACATGAGATAATGTAGGCTCAATATACTTTGTAAACCTTAAGGTGCTATACAAATGTCAGCCATTACCATTATTACTTGTACTAATCTCATAGGGCTATTGTGAGGAAAATGTTATATGATGATGAGTTATTACAATTATCATTATTGGATTTGCTCTGGGCTGCAGCCCCAGATGACTTGGGTATTCACAGCCCCCAGCCAAACAAATATGATTAGGAATGTTCTGATACAGAAGGTTAATGGCCTCCCAGTGTCATTTCTGTTGCTCCCAGGTGCTGGAAAATTGGGAGAAAGGAAGGAAATATGGACCCCTGGGAGATAGGGGGCCCTGGTCTTTCTGGAGAGGGAAAAATCAGGCTGCAAATACCATTGAGGGCCCTAGAAAATCAGCCTGGACGGGTCCAGGGCTCTAACTCCAGATCTTCAAGGAATTCATTCTGGATATCTACTCAGATCATCCCAGGGTGGTCAGTTCAATGATGAAAGCATGAGGTTAATGGGTTTGATCTCCCATGGTGATTGGCTTGCTTCCATTCCATGACCCCAGATTATCCCTACCTATCCCTTATAAATGCATGCCCTCAATCATAAGGAAAACTAGTGAGAATGTGGATAGCTCAGTAGAGTCCATCTCTACTACTTAGAAAGGCAACTTGGCCTACTGATATCCATAGCACTATCTTTGCATATACAAAGGATGCCACATTTTTATCTTGGAAGAAATGGGTATAGGAGTCTCTTAGCCTGGGACAAGAAAAGGTGCCTGAGAAGTACCTTCTCTAATACCAGCAGAAGGATCTAAGCTCTCGGATGTTGGGAGTGGTTAGGATGGTAGGTTTGTAGTGTTAGCACTGGAAAGAACCTCAGAGTGTATCTGGATCAACCTCTACTTCAGGAGGAACTGTCCACCTCTCAGCTGGACCACTTGGTGGTCAAACTTCTGACTGTTCACAAATCAGCCCATTCCACCTTGGGAAAGCTTTCACTATTAGAACGTTTTTCCCTCTGCCTTTCGGCACTTCCCCCATCATTTCCAGTTTTGGTTCCTAAGGCCAAGCAGAACAAGTCTACTCATTCCTCCAATGAAGGCCTTTCAGATATTTCAAGATAATAATCATCTCCCCTAAGCTTTTTTTCTACTCCAAGAAAACATTCCACGCTTCTTTCAACAAACCTCCTGTGACGTAATGGGGAATCCCATCACCTTCCTTGTCGCCTTCTTTTGGACAAACTATACCTTTCTGAATGGTGATACCTGAAACTGCACATATTATTCTGGGTGGGATCTGACCTTTGTAGAGAACAACAGGACTATCATTCCTTTGTTTTGGATATACTACACTTCTATTAATGCAATGAAGAGAAATGGCATTGTCACAATGTTGACTAATTAAGAATGGGGTACATTATGATCGCTGGCTCTTTTTGCATTCTTTTAAAATTATTGATATCAGGGCAGCTAGGTGGCACAATGGATAGAGCACCCATTCTGGAGTCAGGAGGACCTAAGTTCAAATCCTACCTCAGATACTTACTAGCTGTGTGACTCTGGGCAAGTCACTTAACCCTGATTGTCTCCAAAAACAAAATGGCTATCTTTTATTTTTATATTTAATTCATTTCTGAATATATTCTTCTGCCTTCCCACATCCAGTGAGCCTTCCTTTATAGCAAAGAATTAAAAAGAGAAAGAGAAACTCTGTTCTTTCCCCACATAAACTTTATGAAGCATTCTTATTCTGCTCCAGCTCAGACACTCGCATCTGAAAAGCCATTTACATTCTGCTCTTATCTTTGATCCAGCACCCAATCCCTTCACCCCCTTTAAAGACCCAGCTCAAATTCCCCTTCCCAAGGAAGCTTTCTTTGACCATTCCAGCCCAATAGGACTTTGCACCAGTGTTGGTGGATTGACTGACATCAATACGGCTCCACTGGACTCTGAATCCTTTACCAAAGTTGGGAGAGATGTCTATCTTGATCCTTCAATGGAAGAGAATAGAGGAAGTAGGTGGGGCTTACCTTTGATATCAAGCAGAGAGAAATGAGGGTTACTGACAGCCTCAGGCACCAGACGGAAGTAGAATCGGTGACCTCCCTGTGGTTCATCTCGGTCCACCACACTGATGGTCTGGATGAGCTAAAGGCAAAAAGAGGACAAAGGGAAAGTCTCAGAGCCACTCACTGCCAGCTTGAGAGAGCTAAAGCTGCCCAGGGTTGGTCCCTGGACAGAAGACCTTGGTGATAGCATTAGAAAGGGGATATGGAGGGGCTGAGCCACACAAACGTTCCCATCCTGACTCCTAGGTCATCTAGCCTTCCTGTCCCAGGGTAGGTGTGCTCCATGGAAAGAGCATGGGGTTCATATACAATTCTTAAAAAACAAACTGCATGTAACAAACTCATGGTTCCAAATACCATCCTCTTGTATTGTCTTTGCATATTGGAATATTTGTGCCTGTTCATTTTTAAGTTCATATTAAAAAAGAAAGTTTGGTTTTTAAAAAGAGAGGGGGGAAATTGTAGGACTCGTAGCCATGAGGGTGTGGCTTTGTGTTCTGCCTCCACCACTAACTACTTGTTGACTCTGGACACCTCACTTAAGTCTTCTCCCCATATCAGTTTTCTCATCCATAAAATGAGGATGATACCTACACTAAGTACCACACAGAGATGTGTCATGAGTCTCAGAATGAGATAGACATGTATGACTAAGCTTTGTAAGAGTAAAGCACTAGAGAAATGTCAGTTATTTCCATTGTGGTCATTACCTGGCCAGGCTTTGCATCCTCACATACAGCAGCCTCATATGGGGTGGCCAGCTCTGGGGGGTTGTCGTTCACATCCAGGATCCGAATCCGAAGGGATGCTCTGGATACCTGTGAGTGATTGTCTGTAAGCCAAAGAGGGAGGAAAATGAGACACACAGCTAAGGGGCCTGGAGGGTAGTGCTGCCCTCAACTACAGAACCATTCTGCCCTTTTTCTCAGGATGTAAGCCATGCCCCAGTGGGTGGGTTGACCACCAGGACTAGGGTGGGACTTGATCCCAGGGATAGAGAGGATGGTTACAGGGGAATGGGAGTGGGTCCTCTTGGGAACACATCAGCAGGCTGGTATGGTATGGCTGCTTGGTTAGAAATCAGGAAATCTGGGTCCTAGGATCACTGTGTTACAGCTAGTTGTGTGATGTTGGATAAGACAACTCATCCTTCTGGGACTCACATCATGAAGGATCTGGCTGCATGAACTGATTCGGAGTGGGCAGAACCAGGAGAACAATTTGGACAATAACAAAAAGTGGAAAAACACTGAAAAACATCAAAACTGATCATTGAAGTTATCAATCTTAATTTCAGGGGACTGACAACAAAACAGCTCTCTCTTTTTAGTAAAGGGGCAATAGAGAGGAATGATACAAACATTTTCATATGTAGCAAATAAGCATATTTGTTTTGTATAACAAAACTTCTTTGTTATAAGGGAAGGCTCTTTGGCGGAGGATACTATTGGAGGTAGTGACAATGATGTAATAAAAGTATTAATTTTTAAAAAGTAAAAGTTTGATTATGAGTTTTCTGTGGAAGTCAAGCAGGGATCAGCTCAACACAAGTAAAAAGTCTCTAGCAATGAAAACTATCCAAAAACAGAATTGACTTGGGCTGGGGAGATGGAGAGGAACCAGGAGGTGAGGCAAGGTAGGGAACTCTATGTCATTGAAGGGTTTCCAGCACAGGTGAGATGATCATTTGTTAGGGAATCTACCAAGTAAATGTTGAGCTTCATCCTCGACTACCTGATCACTGAGGTCTTTCCAGATGAAGTCAGGGGTCTAGCAGTTTTAAAGAACCTATAATGAAAAATGCTGCCCACTTCCAAGAAAAGAACTAATGAACTCTGCATGCAGATTGAAGCATACTTTTTTACTTTCTTTATTTTTCTTGGGTTTTTTTGGAGGGGGGGTGAGTGGGTTTGTTTTTTTTTTTTGCACCATGACTAATATGGAAATATGTTTTTCATGATTTTTGCATGTATAATCACTATCATATTGCTTGCCTTCTCAAGGGGAGGGGGAGGAGTAGGAGGGAGGGAGAGAATTTGGAACTCAAAATTTAAAAAATAAATGTTAATTTATTTTTACAAAGTAATTGGGAAATACTTAACAAAATAACTTTTTAAAAATCTTTAAAGAATTTTTTAAAAACAAGGGTCCAGGACCCAGACTAGATTTCTAATCTGTCTTCCCCGGGCAGACAGCCTGGGCCAGACCCCTACTTCAATCATTCAACCTGTGTCTTAGCCTCAGGGAATCAAATCTGACAATGTACATGTGGGTTGATGTTGTTTCTCCTCTCCCAACATATGGGAACTTTAACAAGATACTTAGGGAAAAGAGCACTGGATTAGTAAGCAGAAGATCTAGATCTGAGTTTTAGGATCATAACCAGACCTGAAAATGACCCCAGTCAAATCTCCATTTCACAGTATAGGAAACTCATATCCAGGGAGGCTAAATGACTTGCCCAAGATCACACTTGGCATGTGTCAGAGGCAGGATTTGAACCCAAGTCCTCTGACTCCAAAGTCAATGTTCTTTCCTTCCACTGTATCATGCTGCCTCCCTGTTCAACCGCTTACTAGCAGTATGACCTTAGGCAAATCAATTTCCTTCCCTTGATTTGTTTCCTCACCTGTAAAATAAGGTGGTTAAATTAGTCTCTAAATCCCTTCCAGCTCTAATATTTTGGAATGCTGGAGGTGGAGTAGGGTGTGTGTGTGTGTGTGTGTGTGTGTGTGTGTGTGTGTGTGTGTGTGTGTGTGTGCGCGCGCGCGCGCGCTTGATGTGCCCAAAACAAAATTTATTAGATCCTGGAAAGGGGTGGAATTTAAACAAAGGAGATTAGAAAGGGTCGTGTTCAACCAACAGGAAGAAAGCATGGAGGGTGGAATTTCAGATGCCACTTCAGCCTAGTGAGAGAGATATTTAGGGGCAAGGGGACCTCTCTTGTACTCCTGGCATTATATGGTTGTCCACTCACCTGGATGACCTAGTACTGTGCTCCTCACTTCCCATTTTCACTCAGCCAGAAAGCTTAGAGGTCTGGTTGGGGATGGAGGGGGACATGGCAGTCAGTTATTTTTCTGGCCCTGCTTAGATACCGAGAATTGGCTGGTATCTGTGAATTTGTTGGTAAAAAAGGAGCCATGGTTTGGGAGACAGGTGCAGATTCTCCTGGGGGAAGTTCTATAATTAACTAGGCCCTGACCCCTCTGGCAGAGTTCATTCATGAGCCCCCACTCCCTTTTTCTTCTCCTGGGGCTGCCCACTGCTTATGATCTGCCTCTTTGGTGATTAGAGAGGGTACTTTCTGGAAGCGAGAGGATTCAAGTCGTGACTGAGAGCTCTGGGTGATCAATTATTTTTAAGAATGTGTTGTTCAGATCCTTAAATAAACCATAGCTTCATTTAGAGAATTGAGGAGGATATGAGGAAGAGGAATGGGGGAGGGATCGAGAGGGGCCAGGCTGACTGTTGAGCCAAAAGTCAGGCCTGGGATGGACAGTTATCTTTTTCTGTCCAGGCAGCAAACTGTTTGTTGAGGATTGGTGGTAAGAATGAGTGAGGCAAAGGGGAGGGGAGTTCACATTCTGCCTGCTCTCATCCTTTAAAGCCTAGCTCAAATGAAAGCTCCTCCAGGAAACCTTTAATTCCCCCATGACTGAAACTGATCTTCCCTTTATTAGATCTCAAAGCACTTTATATTACAATTGTGCTCTCATCATATTGTTTTAATTAGACATTTAGTTACCTGTGTAACTAGTCTTGTTTCTATTAGCAGACTGAGTGAGGACAGCAATGGTGTTCTCTTTAGTGCTGTACTGTAAGGCACAGAGTAGGTACTCAAGAAGTGTTTGGTAAATGAATGGAACCCACCCAGGTACTCTGGATTCAATTACCTACTATGTACAGAACTCTATGTACAGGCACTAGGGGCAGAATGCAAAGTTTAAAGAGGACATGGTCCCTTCCCTCATGTAGCTTATACTCTAGGAGGAAGAAGGCCTGGAGATATACAAAAATAGTTATCATACAAAATAGATTGCCAGTTTGTCTCCACCAGGTGTGGCTGGAGCCTTATTCATTAATGAAGAGAGGGAACTGCCAGGATCTACATGCCAAAAGATTCCTATCTCCCAGGTCACAACTCAAAAGGGCAAAGCCAAACTTAGTTATGGGTAGGAGTGGTTTCAGGATACTGGGAAGGTCTCCTGAGCCAAAGATGTACTCTTCATCAAACCTCCCCAGCCTAATTTGTGATATCTACAATCCCACCATGTGAGCCATTTTTCTGAGTTAAGCATCACTTGCCCTGGGCTCCTCTTTCAAAATGCAAACAGCCTGGAAGGACGTGGGAGGGGTGAGAGACATTCAGTCTCTCATACCTCAGTGATTCTATGGGAAGTCTATTATTCCCTATATACAATATCCCATCTCTGGCCTCCTTGCCTTTTTTTTTTTGTAATCCTTATTTTAAAAATCTTTTTTTAATTAATTAATTTATTTTTAGTTTTCAACATTCACTTCCCTAACCTTTTGAGTTTTAAATTTTCTCCCCCTCCCTCCCACCTCCCTCCCCAAGATGGCCTGCAATCTGATATAGGCTCTACATATACATTCCTATTAAACATCTCCTTGCCTTTTCAAAGACTGCCCCTATGCTCTCCTTCTTTACCTCTACCTCTTTAAAGACTGCCCTCTTGTCACTCAGCTAAGGTACTCCCCTCTTCCACATTAAGTCATTTCTGCATCTCTCTCCTTGTTTGGTTTTGTATTTAGTTACTTGCTTTCATGTGGTATTACTACTGCCCCCTCTCTCCCCAAACAGAATATAAGTTTCATGAAGGCAGGGGTTATTTTATTTTTGTCTTTGTTTCCCCATAGCCTAGCACAGGGTTTTATATCTAGGATGTACTTAGTTAACTGCTCATTGAATTTAACTGAATTAAATTGATCATGTCACAGAGGGGAGAGAAAACACACACACACACACACACACACACACACACACACACACAAAACCAAAGTGGGGAAGAAAGATGTAGCTTATCTTCATGAGACTATTCCAACTAACTTGATTGTAACCTAGAATGAGGGTAACCAGTGTAGTATAATAGTAAGAGCACTAGATCTGCTGTCAGTAAACCTGAGTTTAAATTCCTGTACCAACACTTGCTGCCTGTCTAGACCATGGGCAAGTCACTTTATCTGGGCTTTAGTATCCTAATCTACAAAATGGAAATAATTATATTTGTGCAGCCTTCATCAGAGGGCTGTTGTGAAGAAAATACTATGTAAACCTTAAAATGCTACAGAAGTATGAGCTATTGATCTGCTTCCCACAAAACTAGCATCCTTGCACTTGTCCCTCCAATTCCATGGTGTTAGTGCCTGGGACAGCTCCCAAGAATGAGGCAAAAGAAGCCTCAAGCCCCAAATGCTAGGTAGACAAGTCACTCCTGGATCTTTGTCCTGTTAGAACTCAGACCTGACTTGGTTGTACCTGCCTGCCCACAACAGGTACCCCCAACCTAGGGTGGCAGGGTTCCCCCCTACCTACCTTGGCATCTCAGCTCAGCTGACTGACATGCAAATTAGTTTAATTATTTCTTCTTCTAAAATAAATTATATTTTGCAGTGACTGCAATATGTTGTGTCAGGCAAAATTACATTCAATATTTTTAAACTAATTGATGCAGCCTTGAGGAAGCCTGATTGACAGCAGTGAGAGGCACAGGCCTGCTACCTAAACGGTTTCTGAAATTAAAATTAAACACGCAGCTTTCCTGCCTTTCCTCCCAGAGTTGGCACACCATTAATCTGGGGAGGCAGCTG